TAGTATTTTCACATTCTTTCCTTTTACTATTATTTCTTATGTAATTTAGATTCCTGTTCAAGGTCCTCGCGACACCTTTTCTTTTTAACAATTAACACTTAGATCGTAGATGATATAATTTTAAAACTGCATGTATATTTTACAATATAAACATTTTATATATATATATATATATATATATCGACATATTAACATTTCAATTTATTAACGTATTCATTCTTGTACAAAATATTATTTAATTTTTCCAAAGACCGCGAGACCATATATTTGTTGAAATTCTAAATTTAATTCTGCTTCATCCACTATACATTTTTAAATAACAATATATTATAAAAGATCTATTAGCTCGAAAGCTATAAAAAGATACCTGAACATGGCACATTCATTATGGATGAAACAAAGAGAACCAGGGAGCGCGATGCCAGTTAACAAGTTAACTTCCATTTCTTCCATTGAAATAGTGTTTCTGCCGTATGCCGGCGGAATATATTTTACTTAATACATTCTTATCCGAAAGGAATAACGTATGCACTATCAGCTTTAGTACGTGTTCTGTATTTAATCGTATAAATCCAAAAATTCAGCTTTCGCATGAAATTATCCCGAAATTTTAGCTTCCCTTCATCGTTGCCTTTGGCCAAGAGAGTTATTCAGCTTGAAGGCATGACGAGCAGCCAGCAGGTGTTTACTTAAAGGCGTCTTGTACGTTTAGAACGTCGCATTATTTAGTTTATTGCATAACATAACAATGATTTTCCACGTACCTATGATTACATAATACAACGAGTCACGAGCCATCGTATCACTATATTCCAAATACGTTCGTGCTATGTAAAAGGATAAATAAAAATTAGAAAAAGAAGTCAGAGAAAGCTTCCCTTTTCTTCGTTCGTTCATCTCTCTATCATTCTCGTATACTGTTTCCTTCTTCTTCATCGAAGCCTGACGATTCCTATTTGGAGAAAATCTTACTACTTCTTTCGAGGTTTCTAATAATTTAGTAATGAGAAAAAAATCACAGATTATTCTTTTCTTCTTTTCCACTTCTGTATTATCCATTATTTATATTATTTTCTTTCTTCTTTTTTTTTGTTAAAACTTTTTTTATAAAAATTCGTGTAGGATCTTATAATCGAATCTCGTCTTATACTTCATGATAATAAAGAAAGTTATCTACAGCTTGTTAAAGGAAGCCTCGTTTCATACGAACAATTCACAAGTGACATTTGCACGCAGAAAAAAAGAATGGCTCGTTAAATAAATCTTCATCGCGTGTCGCAACTATTAATTATGTAAATGATACTCCTTTTTTTATGTAATTTGTAGAATTGATTTAAAGGCAAATATAATCCATTCTTGTCGTTTCGTGTGGAACCTTCGATTATCGGGTCAGTTTATACATTAACATATTTCTATGTTTCTATTTACATCATGAATAATTTCTCGTTATGACTTTCTTCATATGCAGTCTTTTTCCTATTTTTAATGTTTTTTTCAAAAACATTGCTTCTTTCATTTTGTACTTTATATTTGCTAAATAATATTCACACTTGGAAGAATTCGTAATTTAGAATAATATCTGGTTATTTTAAAAGATTTTATTGCATCTTGCATTAACGCTACGTGTACAGATATTTATGAAAATATTCGAACGCTTATAGAAACTTTTTTGTATAGAATA